GATATCTTCATGAAATTTGTACACAATTGACTTTCAATATGTATATTCTCAAACTCATAAAACAGAATTATGCTACGATGTCACACCTTTATGCTATTGCTGTTTATATCAAGGATGCTAGGATACATAGTCACCGAGAAAATGGCATCCATCAGACCTATGAATGTGCGCTTAAAGCAAAGAGCTGTTATTGAGTTCTTTACTGCAGAGGGATCTGAACCCATTGATATTCACAAGCGAATGAAGCTTGTCTATGGTGAAGCATGTGTAGATGTAAGTACTGTTCGAAAATGGGCAAAGGAGTTCGCTGAAACCAGTCCACCAGAGACAGTTTTGCATGACCAAGCTCATTGTGGTCGTCCCAACTCTGCCAGTGATGTTCAACACTAGGAGAGAGAGGATGAGATCATCCAAGCAAACCGGCGGATCAAAGTAAGAGATGTCAGTGAAATGCTAAAGATTTCTGTAGGGAGTGCACAGTATATCATCCATGATGTGTTGGGTTACAGGAAAGTGTGTGCATGGTGGGTTCCCCACATGTTGTCACCCGAGCGGAAATTGAACAAGTAATAAAGAAATTGAAAGTTAGTGATGAACTCCTGGCTCATTATACTGATGAAGGCGAAGCTTTCTTACGCTGTATAATCACAGGAGACGAGACTTGGGTACACCATTCATTATGACCCAGAGAACAATTTAAAAGACAATCGAAAGAATACAGGCACACTGGTTCACCTAGCCCAAAGAAGTTCAAAGTTGTTGCATCTGCAAAGACAGTGCTTATGACAGTGTTTTGGGACTGCGATGGTCTGATTCATATATGGAATTTTTGGAGCAGGGTTACAGGGTTCCACTATCAACTCTGAATGATAGATAGAGACCCTGAGAAAATCTAGAGCACGGCTGTCACGAGTGCGGCCCGGAAAAAAATGCAATTTTTAACCAAGACAACGCCCGTCCACACACGAGTCGACAAACTCAAGATGCTATGAAAAGTCTCAGACTTCAAGAGACCTTACCTCACCCATCATACAGTCCAGACCTTGCTCCATCTGACTTTTAAAAAATCTTTTTCCTAAGTTGAAGGAGTACCTCAAAGGAAAACGTTTTGCAGATGACGATGAAGTCCAAGGAGATGTGCGTCGTTGGTTCAAAAGAAAACCACATTAATTTTTCGCCGACGGCAAGCGACAACTTATTCGACGTTGGCGGATCTGCCTCGACAAAGAAGGCGACTATGTTGAAAAGTAAAGGTGCTGTCATGTAACAGACATCCTAAGCTTTCATTTGGTGTATAACTTTTGTATGTAGCATCAGTAATAAAGAAATTTTGAACTTGGAGGCAAAATTTTTTTAACGACCCTCGTAATAATAATTATAATAGTAACAAATTGTAATACTACATGCAGATATGACGATTTTTTTTTTTTGAAGTGAGCAAATGATGGCAGATACATGTGAGTGGGCCTAGTGAAAGGTACCAAAAGTCGGATTTTGATCATTTCGAGTTACAGGTTGCACCTTATAGGAAATTCAATGCTGAAAACAGGGATCTTAGAATTTTTTAGATCTCAAGTAGTTTTTTGAGATATTGCACATTTTGCGACGTTGGGTATAAAGATAGAATTTTGAGAAAATGAATGAGATTATAAGTCTAACAAATGTGAGAACACGTACAAACTTTTAAAAAAAACAACGATTTTTTAAATTATTTATTAATGGAAAATTCATGTCCAATTTGGCATTCAGTTGACATCAATATCATGAAGGGAATCCAATGGTAAAACATAACGGGGAAGAGAAAACGTGCTTCAAGAATAGATTTCAACACCTTTTAAAGGCAGTTTCCATTATTGGTAGGCCTATTAATTATACCCTACCCTCAAAATAATTCAAAATAAAACATATAGAACTCAAATCAATGAAAACCCTTTCAGCACATAGTAGGAAAATGGTGGATCTACCATTTTTTAAATGGAAACCCATTTTGGTCAAAAACGTGATTTTTGTCATTATCAACCTGTAGCTCAAAACGGTCTGGCGACTTTTGGTACCTTTCTCTAGGTGCACACACACATTATAACAGACCTACATGCTCTCCCAAACTCGATGATCATAGGGAAAACAATTGCCCAGTAAACTGGGCTGACTCATTCACCCCGGTGTGACTAGGGCATTTCAAAGGGGGAAAGTAATGTTCTGATTATAATCTAATTAATTTTTGTGTGTGGATATTATAGGTGAATTTAAGTAATTTAGAAGATTTGAAATTCAAATCCAAAAGCGTGATTACTTTAGGGTGTACTGGTATCTACATTTTTTTAAAAATTCCTTGGCGATCACCGACTTTAAGACACCCTGTACATTATAGTTATAACAATACTTCAATGCCTCTCCATTCATCACAAGATTTACAAAATAACTCCACTGTGGCAAAAGTACAGCCCACTCTAGAGTTCTGAGTTTGAAAAAAACAAATCGACACAAAACTAGTCATTTCGTGTCAGCAAAAAATCACAACAGAAAAACCTCACACAACAGAGGGGAAGTAAATGGATTACAAAATAGACTAGTTCAAAGATTATAGAAACTGGGTGGAGCTCTAATTTTATCTCTTCTTCAAAGAAATATTTCCACTTCTTAGCCAATCAATCAACCCGTAAGAGTTCAAAATTCAAACTTGTTAAGTTTGTTAAGTACTGTTCAGTGCAAGCAAGGGATAAAACACATTCAAAGTTTGAACTGCTTTACATTAATAAGGTCACAAATAATACTGGCTCAATAGAAAACATAATAACAGTTTTATACAATATGATATTAAGGCATACTTTTTGCCCCAAAATGGAATGTTGTTTTTACAGTACAATATAATAAGTACCGAGAACCTTGAGCATTTCCTTGCCAGGAAAATATTTTTTCTAAAACACGGTTCTCATGTATACAAAGGACTAAAATCTGAAAAGGCACAATGGCTGGCAGGTCGTATGTACTTCAAATTTGACATGTGTATATATATAAATATTATATATTCATGTACAATAGTACAAAGAACAAAGTGCAAAGGCATGTAAACAAGAAGGTACACTTACACACGAAAACCCAGGCCAGCACTTTCCAACCTGGGCGACATCGCCTACTGGAGGAAGATCTGGACGATTTGGTGGGCAGTAGGGATCCCCCGGGTAGTGACTGGGGCTATTTAACGCTATCCGTACGCCATGTTTTACTATCGTATCCATACGACGTGGCGAACTCTATGCCCCCATTTTCCAAAGAGGAAATTTACTCGTTAATCCGATCCGTACGCTTTGCATAGCAGTCTGTCAAAATTGCTTTTTGAGAAATACAGAAAGTTTCAAAGAGATCTTCGTACTAGAAGTATTCTAAAATGTGAAAAATACAACCCCGGGGGTACAAAATGACCCCAGGCAGGGCATACGCATAGGGTTAATATCCTGCTTAGAAATACATATAGGTCTAGAAGGGCGGTATGAAAATGTTTGTGTTTTTTAAAGGTGGCAAAAGTGGTGCTGACTATAAAAAGGTTCCCAAGCACTGACCTAAACCTTTGAGTACTGATTAGCAGATTCTGAGTTTTTGAGTAAAGCGAAGCACATTAAACATGATAAATATCAAGTCATTATGTACAGGGGGGGGGGGGGGTACATAGGCAGAAACAACAGAGGGAAAGAAAAGACTTCAACATATCAGTAGTGCCCACCAAAAATCCATTTCAAAAGATTCAATGGTGATGAAAAATTATTGTACCAGTACACACTCATTTCATACACTCTGGACCTGTTTTGTTCTATAGCCTTACAGCTGTAGAGCACTCTTAAGAAAAAAAAGTTGTCAATTGGTGACAACTTGCCATCTGATAATGTACCACTGTTTGTTGAACCATTTCAGGGGAAAAAAAATCAGCAGCAACAAAGGGGCGCCACCCTAAAGACTTGTTTCTATCACGTAATTATAAAGAATCTCTTTAAAAAGCTGCTTGATCAAAAGCAAAAATCTTATGGCGGAGTTCAGTACGATATATCCATATTTTGGATTCGTAACCTGTTTTGAACCACCTACAGTGAAGTATGTTAACACAAAACTCCAACAGTAAGAGTGAATGCAGCAGCAGAAATCAATACTGTCCAAATTGTCCAAGATCTCATATTGTTGAGTAAATAACAATAGTCCCGTGACGATGGGCTCCCATTGTTTGTTCCTCACTAATGCTTTATCATCTTCAAGGTAAGTAACAAAATTAGCCCCCATGCCTCTCTTTTAAACGGTGGAAGTAACCCATGACGTCTTGAAATCCAAGATATGCACCCATTGCCAATGAGAAAAGTCGATGTATTGGATAGCTAGACTGCTTGGACAGTGTCATTATAATACAACCCCCCCCCCCCCCCCCCCGCAACGTGGGGTTTGTGGGAAGTCGTCATTAGTAGATGTGGTTGTCTTGGACAGGTGGCCATTACAGCAGGTTCCACTGTACATGTTTCGGGGAATTTTGTTGTTGACCATGTGAAGCACCTGTGCTACAATGGTGATGAGAATGCAGCACCTGATAAGAGAGTCCAGCGTAAGTAGGTGGATGTCCTCCAAACAGTGCTGGGTCTATTGAGGAAGAACAGGGGCCCTCGACATTTCAAATCTATGAACCTGAAAACTGCTGCTGGCGTAGAACATGGAGAACTAGGGGAACTAGAACTGAGGTCGGAACCTGACAGCAGCTCATGACCACTTTTCATGATTGTTCTACAAGCTCTTCTCATGTCATGAGAAGAGCTTGTAGAACAATCATTAAAAGTGTTCCATATGATAAACAACTGCACATATTCATTTTCAGTATCTTAGGCAGTAATGGTACTATTATGATATTTTTCATCTACCAAACACGGAGACCACAAAAAACTTTCTTCTTCTTTTCTCCCTCTTTTCACTCACTCACTCTCTCTCTCTCTTTCTCTCTCTCCCTCTTTTTCTCTCTCTCTCTCTCTCTCTCTCTTGCCCCTCTCTGATTCTCTCTCTTGCCCCTCTGTTTCTTTCCCTTTCATTCAGTGCATTCTATCTCAAACTCTGACATTTATATCTGGAATCAATGAAGTGACACTCAATCCCTGACCTCTTGTTGACACTTTTTGCTACGCATGTGAGTTTTGTTGTGAGTGCCCATGTGTATTTTGAGGTGTGCCGGTTTCGCAAACCTCTGTGAGCAGACGGAGCACTGGTGCGGCAAGTCCTCACCGTGCGTCCGCATGTGTCGACGCAGAGAGGAAGAGCTCGACAGTACGGCTTTGCACACACGACAAGGCCACTGCTGCTTGTCCCCCGAGTGCACCGTTCGGATGTGCTTCTCCAGAGTAGCCGAAGCCAGAAAGGCTTTCCCGCAAGAATGGCAAACAAAGTCTTTCTGCGTCCCGTGAAACAGAGTATGCGTTTTGAGAGCTTGAGAGTGGGCAAACTTTGCACCGCAGGTGTTGCAGGTGTAGGGTTTTTCTCCCGTGTGTGTCCTCATGTGAACCTGCAAGTTGGCTTTTTGAGTGAAGGAAGAACCGCACACCTCGCAGGTGAATGGTTTCTGACCAGTGTGGATCATCATGTGCTTCTTTAAGTTGGACTGCCTGGTAAACTCAGAGCCACAGACCTCGCATTTAGCCATCTGTTTCCCTTTCTTATGGGTCAACTTATGACGTTCGAAGGCCAAAGCGAAGGTGAAGGACGCCTCACATTTATCACACTGGAAAGACTCTCTTTTATTGTGCACCTTCACGTGGCTTTTGAGACTAGCTATGCTGGAGAATTTCTTCTCACAAGACGAACAACTAAACTGGTTACTGCCGTCACCTTTTTCTTGTCCTTGAGATGTTGGATCCAACGTGGGACTGCCATCGGGATGTGACTTATGGCTTTGCTTCATGTGAAGTTTTAAATTCTCTTTGCGCATGTACGAGGCATCACATTCTGTACATTTGTGCAGACGTTCACCAGAGTGAGAGCTGAGATGTGCCTTCAAAGAGGACAACTGTGTGAAAGTAGCTTGGCACTGCGAGCACTGATGAGGCCGGTGACGGTCCGAGTGAGTCAACTCATGTCTAGTCAGCTGGTTCCTCTGGCTGAAGCAGGAGCCGCACTCGGAGCAGATGAACGCCGCGTTTGTCTCCCCTTCAGTATGTCGTTCTGTCACATGCTGCCGCAGGCTGTCCTTGTCTCCAAATGTTTGCCCACAACTGCCGCAGACAAAAACCTCCTTCTCTACAACACTGCCTTTAACGTGAGCACAAGCGTATTCACTCACCTCACAACTGTCTGGAGCCTTTTTGTCTTTGGCTTCGTCACTTTGGACCATATAATGATTGTCTGATGAAGAATTTTCCGTACCTCTTTCAACTATTTGAACAGTATGCAACTCATATGGTCTAGTCTCCGAGGCAGGATTACACGCCGTTCTGTTCTCTGACAAATTATCAAATATCCTGTTTTCCCGGCCAGGTGTTCTATTTTCTAAGACAATATCAGATATTCTGTCTTCCTCACCTTTACCAAAACTAGTATTTTTCACATTACTACTAGATACTCTACTTCTCACAGCATTCCCAGATGCTTTATTTTCTACAGCTGCACAAGGAGTTCTGTTCACAATTTGATCAGAAGTATGAACAAAGTTAGCATCTGATGCTCTATTTTCAACGGTTTCATCATCAACAAGATTCGCCATTGGGATAATGCAGTCAGGGACCTGTTGTGTAATAGATGTGTAGTCACTTCCTCTGATATTTTCACTTTCTGGCATAAACTCATCAAGTGATCTTTTTACATTATAATCTTTCCTCTCATTTCTGAGTCTGTCGTTGGCCGCAGACAGACTTACAAACTGTTTAGGGTTTGTCTGAATAACAGAAAACTTCTGAGAACGGTTTTCTCGTTGGGCAGGGGCAAGCTGAAGGAGTTCTCTCCCTTCTTTCATTTCATCAGCAGCAGCAGAAAGTGACCATGCCAGATCTTTGTCCAGGAACCCCGGAGTGTTATAAACAGCACCAGGAAGGGCGGACTGACCAGGCAAATTATCAAGTTGACGTATCCCGGGAAGGCCATCAGTCTGAGTACCGTGAGTCAATGACCGTGCCTCCATCCCACTAAGGCAATCAACACTTCTGTCTCGTGGCACCGACGTCAGCTCTAACCCTTGTTCATGACTGTTGCCACCAGCACAGCCGGCTAAAGCTGGTTCTTGCTCACAACGACTGCCCTCGTAAACGTGACCGGAGACCTTCAGCCTGTCCAGACCGTGGCACAGGAAGGTGGAGAAGCCACTGACCCCCATGCCACTGACAGAAGATACTGGACACTCACTGACTGCTGGCTTTGGGTCTCCGCTTTCAGTAACTGTAGATTTCTTTTGTGGAAACTGCTGTAATTCGTTTCCTCCTCTTTTTTGATACTCGGCCATTAGTTGTTCGCTTTCACAGAGGATTTCATCCAGGGTGGGAAAACACTGGAGGTTGTCAGACATGACTGGAGGTGGGTTATGAGGCAATTTTTCTGCCTTAGTTGACAAATTTGAGGTTTCCATCATCTGCATAAAATTTTTCTCCCCATCATTCAAGGACACACCGGAGCTGTTCTGGTCGTAAGCCATGCCAAAGTGAGGCTGGGATTCTACAGCCATACTCATACCAAAGTTGTTGAAGTCTAACACTTGCCCAGCTTGATCACTTCCTCCACTACACATCTGCTGCTGCGAGGTAGAAGCACTTGAAGAAGGCACAGAGGGCATCAAAAGTTCAATTGCAGACTTGGAGAAGTTTTCATTGACAAAGGCGTAGCTTAGCTGGTCTCGATTAGGTGTATTCGTCTGAGAACTGCACGTGATATTTGATGAGACTGAAAATGCGTCTGTGCTGAGGGGCCCAACTTGAGGGAAGTGTTCTGCATTCCAAGCACTGGTGGTGTCTGCCTTACTCTCCCGGGCACTTTGCCAACAGGAAATGGACTTTGCACTATTCGCTGTATCTTGTGACTTTGTCACAACTGGTCTATTCCAGCTGGGGTCCTTAGAAACATGCAAAGTATCATATTTATAAAAACTAGCATCATCCCACTGATTCCCACCTGTGTTTTTGATACTCTTTCCCTTACTCTGGGGGTCCACTCTCTGCCAGCGGGAACCTCTCGAGACAGAATAGATCTCACATTTCGTGTCTGACGTGTGTGACAATGCAGAAACGTCCGTGCAGTGAGAGGAGCTAACAGCACCGTACGACACATTCCCTTGCTGTACCTGGCCTACTGGCCAATGATCATGGCCAAGAAGTTCCAGCAAAGAGCAAGAAGGCCTGTTCCCAGAATCCGGTGAATTAGAAACATTTCCAGCACCTTGTCCACAAAAAAGTTCATTGTTGGGTGGAGCGTACCTGTCAAGATGAACCTGTCTGTTCATTTGCGCTCCAACAGTTTCGTGAAATGAGGCTGGCTGACAGTACGGAGCAGGCCGCTGATTGATCTGTGAGTCTGTGCCAGTCAGCATCTGTGATGATACACGCAAGTCTGCCTCTTTACAGCTACCTGGTACATCAGAACGTGCGTTGTGGTGTGCACGAGCCTGACACGATGCCATTCTTATACTTTCTTCTCCAGGATCTGCCAACCCCCCTTGTACATTTGTAGAGGTTATTCCAGACTCCACACATTCTGTTGAGGGTGTTTGCTTTGCAGTGCAAGGGTTGACTTCCAGAGCACTTGAAACATAACATGACGCAACACTAGCACTGACAACGTTTACTGGCGGAAGAGAAAGCTGTTTGTTGAGATTCCCGTCTTGTGAACATACTGGTACCAACAGAACGGCAGCTGAAACAACTGCAGTCCCGACACCCTCTGCTGTCGATATCCCATGACTGTTCCCTGGGTGTGATGAGGAGTTTGGAACCAACGCGACAGCAGCATCACGGTCACTTTTCCCTTGCAAGGAAAGGAATGTCGGAGCAGGTAGGTTCAGAATCTGACCACTTTTTTCAGCTTCACTCACTTCTTCTGTTTCTATCCTTTCACACGAGACAGAACTCCGCGTCTCTCCTGCACCGACATCTTCCTTACTTAACCTACCGACGTTCCCCTCTCCACCCTGACAAGACTTGAGATGCTTCTGGAACGGTCCTGGCCAGGCAAAGGATGCACCACACGATGAACACGAGAAAGGACGTGCTTTAGAGTGAACACGACCATGCTTTGTCAGAGCCTGAGAATGGGCAAATTTCCTTCCGCAGATGTCACAAGAATAAGGACGATCCCCAGTATGAATCCTCATATGAATTTTCAGATTTCCAAAAAGAGAAAATGAACTGGAACAAATTTTACAAGAATACTGCTTGGTCTTTGTGTGACTCTCTTCATGTTTCTTTAGGAGCGATTTCAGCGGGAAGGCACGAGAGCAGAGGGAACAGCTAAACGGGGTGTCACCGAGGTGACGTTTTAGATGAACTCTCAGAGACGACACACACAAGAAAACAGCTCCGCACATGTCGCACAGGAGGGTCGCAGAACAAAACTTCTCTTTCTTATGAGCCTTCAGCTGTCTTGAAGTTTTAAAAACACTTCCGCATGAGCATTGGACCTCCTTTCTGTTCTCAGTTCCAGAGAGTGAAATCACTGCTACTTTATCCTTCAATTTGTCAGCAGTGTCAGTCGATTCAGATCTGTTCACAATACATTCCTGAGCTGCATTAGGAAATTTCGCAGATGGTCTTTTGTCCGGATTACATTGTAAGGCAACTTCTTCTATATAGTGTACACGCTCATGTCTTTTCAAATCTGATATTTTGGCAAAACGAGAGTCACAAACCTGGCAAACAAATGGCTTCTCCTCAGAATGAGTTTTCAAATGAGTCTTCAGGATGTTCGCATACTTAAAGCTTTCTCCACACGTTGTGCACTTGTAAGGACACTCTCCTGTATGCTTCCGTTCATGAACTTTCAAAGTTGCAGACTGTCGAAACGCCTGCCCGCATGTGGAGCATTTGTACGGCCTCTCTCCAGTGTGAGAGCGCTCATGTCGCTTCAGATCAGACGCTTTGGAGAAAGATGCCTCACACGTGGTACACACATGTGGACGAGCCGATGACTTCTGTTTCACTTTCTTCCCAACGAGCTCTCTGTCCCTCATTATGCTTGTCATCACGAGACACATCTCACAAAAGGTCGGGCTTATTTGTGGATAAAGAAACAAAGAATCTATAGGAACAAATCTCCCTTTCAGCCATAACAACAGCCTCAACAGTAGAGGAGTCTCTCACTGATGACGACAAGATGCGCGGATTTCTCATCCCTTCTTTCAGCAAAGGCAGTCTGCAAATAGAAAATTAAAAAAAAAAGACTACCAGAAAAGTGAACAGCAAATACTCTGTCAAAGAAGTGTGAGAAAATTAAATACAACTGACCCGGCTGAAAGCAAAAAAAAAAATGTTTTTAAAATCATGTTGCCAAAATTCTAGCAAATTGTCACTGTGGACTTTGGATACAATGAGCTTCTGTATTTTTTCAATGGTTATTATAAAGATTTAAAAAACAACAACTGCACAACCATAAGCCGCCTCTCCTCCCCAACCACCCCCTCCCCCACCCCTTCCCCCAATTCTCCCACCCAACTCTGCACACCACCATGAACATTTGAATTTGAAAACAAAACAATACGGAACAAATAAAAAAGAAATCAGAAAAAACCCAGACAGGGCCACAACACAAACAGACAAGGAGAATGTGAACTGTTGGTACAGTTATTGTGAAGGGAGGTAATTGCTCAATTACAACCCCCATATAAGCCATCTGGGTTATGTCCCCTCCTTCCTCTGTTAAAGTACTGGACAAAAATGTCATATGAAATCTTGGATTCAATGTGGACCATGGCTTTCCCCGACGACCTCATCATATTCGAGGGTCACAGCACATCACTGTATGTAATGCTGGGATTTTACACCAACAAAAAGTTATGAAGTCCCACTACTGCTTGAGAGCTAAAATCAAAACAAAACAAATCATCAAACGTGATAAAAGAAACAAAACATTGAGAAAAAAAGCATCATACCATGAAGACTTAAATACAATTAGGTATCACTTGAATAGCAATCCAGGTGGACAGGATATTATAACACAATTTACTCCTAGTCTGGTAGAATGAAATTTCAATGGTGTGTTCCTGAAGCCCCAACACTAAGTTCCCACAAACTGATTGTAACTGGTTTAAATAAATACTGATAGATTATATTTTTATGTTATGCAAGCAAGGCCGAGAAAAACAGACTGCTGATTTACACTATGGTCAGGGCTGCAGCTGCATCCAAACATTGTGTGACGTGCGATGCTGAAACAAGGAGTAGATTAAGCAAACGGATTCTTATATTTTATTCCCCTTTCTCTCCCCCCCCTCCTTTTTTCCCACCAGCTTGAGCAGAGATTTTGGCGTGTTTTTTTTCTCCCCTTTCATCAAAAGCGGCAAAGTAGTCTCTGCCTAAGATCCCATCGCATCTGATCCCGGTTTAAGACACCACTGTTTTTGAAAACATAATTTTTATCAAATTACTCAGAACACATTCTCCTAAAATCCTGCTCTGGAGGAGTTTTCTTCCAAATCCTGCTTTTCAGATAATAATTTACCAAAGAACAGGGCTTCCACGGCTGATCAACCAAGCCAATAATTCACAATTAAATTTTGTACAAGTCACTGCCTGAACTGTTGCACACGTCAATGGTCATCCACTCTATGCAATCACATCTCCTTTGTGAAAATCTCAATGATTTCACCCAGCAGGAGCATGCAGAGGTGTGAAATCTTTGACTCATTTGTTTTCTCCAAACATTGCACTTTTTCATTTAAATATTCAAGCCCTCCACTTGAACTGAAATGACACCACAATCTGAATGGGTAAGGCCTCCAAGGACTCATCATCATCAGTGCTTTTCTTTCCCTGACCATCAAACTTGTCTTTCAGCTTTGCACACAAATTTGCTATAGACATCATAATGGCACTTATTTATACTTGGGGGCTGTTCAGTGTCCAGTGCCTACTGTTTAGTGTGAATTGTAATTAATTAAAAATAGCAGAGTAGGCGCATTGGTCATTGGGCCTGTCTGATCACCTTTTTGCCTTAATTCAGGCCTGTGGTCATTTGTTGGCAGTGAGCCTGCCTTTCATTCTTCAAGAAGTATGTTCTCTAATTACTAGGCTCTAGGCCTAGAGTTAATTGGTTGATGTCGACACAATAGTCAATGATGCTATGACGTGAGCATGGAACTCATCCAGAGACGGAAAGCTACAATTTGGATAGAAGGTGAAGGCAGGAGCAAAGAACTCAAAGGCTGAGCTGGGGTTGACCTAGACCTTGAGACTCACATTTGGACAAAAGTGACGGTCACAATGGCATACACCTCAACGAATGTGATTGGGAGTGTCTACGTACGCAATTGCGTTCATCAACACATTTCTTGCTATTTATTATATGCACGCAATTAATTTCTTTCACCATCAACACATTTTTTTGCTACGTGCACACACAATTGCATGCAAGGTAACTTTGCTATGCATGCAATTCCTTGCCGTATGTGAGGATGTTGTTTCGATATTCGTCTTGGGTTTCGTTAAAGTAGGCCCTATCTATGTAAATTTCATTCTAATCATTATCATGTTAACAACCATTTGTCGTACAGTGTATTATAAATCTTGCATTGTTTTTAATGTTTGCTCAATAGATGGATTTATTTCCACAGGCTATGGACTTGTTCCTGTATTGCTGTTCATCTTACTAACATTGTTGACAGTTCTCTTCTAATCATGTAGTCAAATTATCTATTGGGGTCTTTTTAAAGTCAATCATGGATTTGAACCTTAATACGAATTACGAGTTAATTTCCCTCAAAATTATGTTTCCCCTTTTCTGTCGCATGCCTAAACGGGCTTCTGGGCCAGAGGATAAGAATTGATAAATCACCCCCCAGTCTTCACGCGTACATTATTCTTGAGACAAGAAGTTCAGAAACCTCCATGCAGCCAGTACAACTGTTCTTTTAATTAAATCAGACTTTTTGGATTCCTCATTTTCAGCCTCAGAAAATATAGAAAACATGAGGATGAATAGCAACATGATTAATGTAACTCTGGGTGGCTTTTCTTCAAATCACTCAATAATAGCCTTTCTTGTAGAGATTCAAAGTCCCATCTTCCAGTTTGGTATGACAGTTCGAACCAGACATTGTAGTGCGTGGCGTAAAGAGTAAAGACTCAACGTGCCTACACGATTGCGTGCGTATAGTATAGCAAACTATGAAACCTTGCATGAAATTGCGTTCGTATGGCAAAATTTGAATTTCTGTGCATGCGCATACTCAGCCCAAACAAAAATTACCTGTTGAAATAGAGGGGTAGGGCCTAGGCCTAGAATCTAGATCTAGCCTAGAAGGGCCACCTCTATTCTCACCCGGAGTGAGAATAGTGCAAGCGAGTATTGTGGCTATTCTCACCCGGTGCGCGTTCAC